ATGTTGGATATATATTAAATATTAACATTATATTTAGTTTAATAAATATATTATCTTAATTATTTAAAATTACTAGTATATTTTTTATTAAATAATAAATAAATGTTTTATCCTCTTGTAATTTGACAAGAAACACTTATAATATTTGATAAGGATAATTTTTATCATTATGTGAGCTTTATTTTACTGACAAAATTAGCTCTCTTTTAGCTTTTTACTTGTTTGAATCCTCACTTTTATCTAGTTTATATATATATATATATATATATATATATATATATATATATATATTGATAAGTGTGAAAAGGAGTTGTTTTTACACTTATAAATGATCTCAATCTTCTAATTATTCATGTTATTACTCAGTGAAATGTTGTAATAAGAAGTAGATTGTTTGTAAATTATTGTACAGGAAAGGATGTATAATTGGGAGTCTGTCAGCCAATTCTCGTATAGCGCAAGCCAAAACTCACACTGCCAGGAAATGAAAATTCGCATAGCGCACCATTACTTGTGCGTTGTGCGAATAACATCAGTTGAGAGGCAGCAGTTACAAGAAATTCGCATAGCACACACACATGTGCACTGTGCGAATTAAAGAAGTTATTGGTTTTAAAAGACGTGACAGAAAGGCAAAAACCATCTTCTGACACACGAAAATAGCCAGAGAAAGACTGAAGAATTCAGGAGACGATCAGGAGACCTGTCAAGACATCAAAACTTCACTTTATGCAAGGAATTGCTATAAAAAGTACGTTTCAGATGTCTAGGATAGACTAAATTTTCTGTTCATTGAAATTGGTTGTATGACGAAACATTGATGTAAAATTTCTATGCAATATATGTATTTGTTCATGTTCTTTTCTTGACTTGCTTTTGATTATACAGAAGTATTAATCTCTTTAAAAGTTCTTTTATACTGGAAAGTATTTTTAGAACCAGAAACGTAAGAAAAGAAACTAAAAGTAAATTACGCTAGGAATAGCTTCTGTGCTTTTGGTCATTCTCACATATGAACTTAATGCAAAATTATCTAATGAATTAATTAAGGAATTAATAATTCAATAGATAATTTTAGAACTTGTTTTTAAGGAATTGAAACAAGATACTCTCATGTGAATGCTTGAACAGAGAACATATGTTGTCCATGATCTTACTGTAATGTTAGTCAAAGACCAATTCCAGTGATCTTTTATCGCATTTTTCAAATCTTATTTTTGTTTACGTTGTTAATTTCATGCTTAAATCCAAATTGAAATCACAAATATCATCAGTAATTGATCTTGATAAATAATTTTAATTGATTAACGTAACTCAAATTCCCTTGGGAAAACGATACAATTTTACTTATCCACTGTATTACTTGGAACGATTTGGTATACTTGGACTATATTACGTAAATAATACTCTAATACCTCTTTTTGTATCTATTTTGATGCTAGAAAGATCCTTCGTAACATTGAAGAACCTTGGTGACCCAAAGAAGCAAGAATATCAACAAAAATGAGAGAACTTAAAGTTCAGTCACTAGAAGCCTCATCCTCTCACTGGCAAGATAGAGTTGAGCGCCACCTTTTTAGAGAGCATCTAGGGCTGCCCTTAAGACTAGCGTTGACCGCCAGAGCCCTAGCGTTGGCGGTTGCTTTGCTAATGTGTCAAAATTGCCTATTTATTTAAGCTTTCTCGAAGCATATGGGGTCTTTGGTGGTTTAGAGGCGCGACTTCACTCAGAGGAGAGCTAGAGATGTTGCTAGGGCTCGTGGGAACACTCCATTCTTCCACTTGGTTTCTTCTCTTTTTTCGTGACCACTTTGTAAGCTTGAGGCTCTCCATGGAAATGAAGAGCCAAACCCATGTTGTTGGGGATTGACGTAGCTCTTGAATTCTCTTGTATTTTGTGAATGTTTTGATTATATACATGCCTCTTTCATTAAATGTCAATTTCTTGTTTCCATTCTTAATGCTTGCATATAATGGGGACATTCATGGCTCAATTTGTGAATTCGTTAGGTTTTAGGAAAAATCTAGCTTTAGGCTTGAAACAATAGATTTAGTGGGGGCTTGTGTCTAGGGATGAAACATGACTTATTAGTTGTTTAAAACACTAGGTCCTAATGCGGGTTGACTTGTTAAGAGATTAAGAGATTGATGCTTAGTGAGAAAACTTAGACTCTTTCACCTAAGAAATTAGGGTTAGAGTGTTTTAGTGGATTGACATTAGTGTTTGATGAGATGATTACATGTGTGAAGAATAGAACTCAATAAATATAAAAAAATGAGTAGAGTCAGAATTTTTTTTTAAAAAGAGTAAAATAACTTCTTATATGCTAATTAGTTTCTTTATAATGTTTTGTAAATGACTCACGTATGCATATATTTATGTACTTAATTTTAAACTTAATTATACATATTTTAAGATAAAAAAATGAAATTAATAATATGATATACAGATGTAATAATAGGAGTTAAAAATTGAATTAAAAAAATTAATCTATAAATGAACAAATAAAAATATCATTTAAGCCTTTAATTTTGAAAATATCTAGATAAGCACCTCAAAGTTGTAAAATTTGTATAGTTAAAATCAATAAATATATTATTTAAAAATAATTAATAACGATATTTATTTAATGAAATTCATACTGATTAAAAAAATTATAAAATACGTTTACTAGTAAATATATTTAAAATTATTAATTACAAATAACAAAATTTAAACACATCAAATAATATCAATGAAAATAATATTTAAATCGTTTTCATTCATTCTTAATTTACATTTATTTGAAAAAAAAAATATATTAATAAACTCGATAAATTTATTTCAATATTTTTTAATTTAAAATATAAATTTATTATTCGTCAAAATTATAATTATAACTATACTTTTATTTATATAATTTAAATATATAGAAATTTTATATATAAATAGGAAGATGTTTTGGTAGAAAAAATTAAAAAAATCTAATGTATGTTTAAGTTACGTTACGTTGTTTAGTAAAGAAAACAAAATCTTATTTTAATTATATTAGGTTTAAATCTCTATGCAACAATTAATGCATTTTCATGATACAATTAACTTAATTTCCCCTTTTACAAAATTAATTGATGTAATTTATACAAAATAAAAACAAAATTAATACTTTTTTTAACCGTGGAGACAAAACAGTGTGAAACTAGTAATGAAGTAAGCAATTAAACGAAAAGTATTTAGACATTATAACAGATTAAATTTAAAATTGTTGTTTTAAATATTTTTAATATTTTAAAAATAAGTTAAAATAGTCCTTTATATCAAAAGCAAGGTGAAATCCCTCCTAAAAATTATAACTTATTTAAAATATTATTAGATGGTAGACAGAAATATCCGTAGCATTTAAGATCTTCAAATAGTACTAGAAAAATTATAGATAAAAATTGTAAAATGATTATAATTTTTTCATTTGATGATATTATAATTATATAGTATTGGAATGTTCATTTTTCTACTATAATAACAATAAATAATAAATTATTATTATTTTATTATAATTGTAAAATAAATATAAATAATTTTTACCATTTTATTATAAATATTTTTATTTATTTTATAAATAATTTTTTTTATTATAAATAGTTACTTTAGTTAAAAAAATAATTAAATTTAAAAAATATAAAATAAAAAATAGATAAATTTAAAAAGAATTTCCACAAAATCGGTAAGATAATTATTTCAATTTTTTAAAGAGGTTAAAATTTTAAAAAAAGTAAATGTATATGAAAAAAAACTGTGACAAAAACACGTCTCTTGCCGCTGTGTATTTGCATTCATTAATATATTTAAAAAAAAAAACAAGTATAATATTAGTTAAAAAAATGTATGTTTATGTTATTTTAAGTGAAAAAAAATACAGAATTATGTTGTCAAAAAAGCCAAACAATTATAATTGACAAATGTAAAAAAATTATATCGCTTAAAAATAAGACTAGTTTAAAAAATATATTTTTAAATAGTTAAAAAGAAATATTATGATAAAATTGTCAAAGAAAAGAATAACATTAAAGATGATTAAACAAATGATTTCTTTTATATATTGTATAGATAAATAATATTTATAAATAAAAATTAACAAAAACAAGTTATACGAAAGAAAAGTAAAATTAGTAAGAAATTATATAAATTAAAATCAATTAAAAAGAGTTAATAGATAAAAATGGAAATGTTAGTATTAAGAGGTTAGTTAATTTGATATATAAAGTGGAAAGAGACCTTGATTTTTGTATGTGATGTAAGTTAAGAAAATCCAGAAAAAAAAAAGTTAAGAATAAAAAGGTGTAAACCATGGAAGATGCTTAGAGGAATTTATCCAAAGATGATTTTGGTGTACACAAAGTTGTTCTCCCATTGGCGTAATCGTAAAATGATGTCAGCAAGAGAACCCCACCAATCTGCAGGATCTACCTGGTGCGCACATTAGTGGTAGTGGAAATGTGACCATCATCATGCTTTCCTATTCCTCTCTCTGTTCTGTGTCTGTGTGAAACCCTTGACTCTCTACCACAACCCAACATCATCAGACAAAAACAGACACGCACAAAAATACAACCTTCTCTAATGCCATTTTTTTTTCCAATTAAAATAACCTAAAGTTCAATTAAAAAACAGTGGCCTTTATTCATCTAAAGCAGTGGCCCCTATTTCAATAGACATATTAATAATTATAATTCCATGAATATGATGGCAGATTAGAGTAGGGTTGGGAATTTGGTTGTTTTTTTGGTGGTGAGTCACACAGCAAGAAAAAAAAAACACAGTATTTCTCAAAGTAGCTTTCATTAAAATAAAGAATTTTGATTTTCTTTCCTTGTAATTTAAAAATTTAGAGATTTAACTGCTGAGGAAAACGAGGAAGGAAGGACCAGATACTACATAAATACATGACAGCTCTTTATGTTTTTGTTTTTTTGAAGTAGTTGCTTGTGTTGTGCGCTTTCTATGATCACCTTCACAGGTACTTTCTTTCTTTCTTCTCTCTTGCTTCTATAATCATTTTTTGTTTTTCTCTTTGAAAAAGTGTGCATACCGGTTTTGGCTTTGCTTTCACGTACGTACCAAAACTTATGATTTTTGTTGTTGCCCTTTTTTCGACGAGGACTAGTAAGTATCCTAGAATCTATTGTGCGGTTTTTTTTCCTGTCTATCTATCTTTGAAGAAATTAAGAAACTAAAACGTGGATCGGTCAAAAGAATTGATGCGTACTTGGTGCTGCTTTCTGTATTTGTGATAATCTGTACTTTCTTCGCACCCAAAGTTTGTATTTCTTTACCATACTTTTATCCTTCGTTTGCAATACAATTAAGAAATTTGTCTCCTCTGTCCTTCATCACCTTTCAAAAAGTTTAACCAACTGCTTCATTCTGGCTACCCTTTCTGTCTTTTGTCACCTAAGCAGGAAATTTAGTACCATGTTTGGTTCCATGATTCAAACACGATCTTAATACACTCAGTGATAATTTCTACGTTTATGATTCTTCTTTTCCCAATGGGTTTTGACTCACGCTGTGTACATTCCAGAGTGTATTCAACTCAAACAAACTATTTTTTGGTGTCACAAACTTTTCCTCTGCTTCAGCTCTTATCAAACACAATCTTCCAAATTTATGGCATATTCGGTGTTTACTTAGTATTTCTTAAAATGTTCCCATCTACTTTCATTCAATCCAGCTTCCAGATTGGTCACATCACAATGGAGGCTTGCAGATTTCTTTATTCTTCTGGTCTTACTAATCAAATTGACCTTTTCTGCTTTACCCTGGTACGATTCCTTATGATCAACGTCACTCCTTAATGGTGCATGCAATATGATTAAGATGTGTATGAAACAGTGCCGCAATAAGGTTTCTTTTGTTGTATTCTTTCTTGTATAACATGGTAACAGCTGCGCATTTCTGCATCTTGCAACAATTTTCTTATGTTGCACTCGTGTCAGTCTTCAAATATCTTCCATTCCAATTCTTATTTGTTTTCTTTTTGCTTTCTGATTATTTTATTATTAAAATCTAAGTGAAATCTGCTTCCTTAATGCGTTTTATGATTGAATGAATTTTGAATCGTTACGTTTATTCTTAACAGCAGCCTCTATATATGCATATGCATTGAATTTCTGCATCGATTAGTCCATAGAGCATGGATGCTTCATCCTCACAGTTTGTTTCCTCAAGAAGAATGGAAGTAGTGTATGATCCTATCCATCAAATTAGCATGTGGGAAGAAAATTTCAAAAGTAATGCTAATACTTTAACTGCATCCACCTCCATAATTGAAGAGCTGGACATGAAGTTTGATAATCAAGTTCAGGCGCAAGTATGTTTACCAAATTTCTACGTTGTCTTTTGCAAATGATAATGCCTGTTTTGCCTACTAATAAAGTTCTGTTTTTCTGTTGAATACCTAGTCAGAGGAGGTTTCTCATGGAATATTTGGAACATCTGTGAAGTACAACCAAGATCATAATAGACCGGTTGATAAGGTAACCAGGTTATGTAAAACCCCTTTTTCCTAAAACAGCATAAAGGGGTTATTCTTCGAAATATATTACTGGTTTGAATGGTTTGTATACTTATAACCATTAAATTCTTCCAGCGTTTAAGTTCAAACTGTCTCAGAATACAGATACTTCTGTCCTTAGCTTCAAAAGAAGTTTCTTTTACTAGGAAGCTTATGTAGTTAATGCCATACTTAGATATACTCTCACTTTGGTGGCCACATTCTATGGGGTGCTTTTCTGTAATGTGATAAGTTTATTAAAGCCATTTCAAACAATAGACTTAATCTTAGTGATATTCAAGCATGGGAAGGCACACCATTTACTCTTTTCTTCTTCCTCCATCTTTACCTTTATGTAGAAATTGAGTGACATCAGAAAGTATTTTAGACCCTTGGACTCTAAGGAAACTGCATAAGCACTGCAAATTAAGAGGTCCTCTGCTTCACAGTTTTGAATGTCTGGCTTGTATTCATAACTTTTTTCTTCTTCTACACTTATATGCCGAAAAAAGAGGCAATTTAACATGTTGAAACATGCAGACACAAAGACGTCTTGCTCAAAATCGAGAGGCTGCTCGAAAGAGTCGTTTGAGGAGAAAGGTTTGAAGGTTTATGCATTGGAAGATATTCTAAGCATGTAACAAGTGTTTAGATATACTAATATCATGTGATTTTTTTGATGTTTTTTCACAGGCATACGTGCAACAGTTGGAATCATGTCGTTTGAAGCTGATGCAGTTAGAGCAAGAGGTAGATCATGCTAAACGACAGGTGTTTACTCATGAACTTCTTATAGTTCAATATCTCTTTTTTCTTTTCCTCTTCTCTTGTGAATTTCTGGGGCAACATACCTGCAGGGATTGTATATTGGTGACGGATTGGGTTCTAATAATTTGGGTTTTGCTGGCTCTGTAAATTCAGGTTTGTAGTTATCAATAGCTCTTGATTCTTCATTTAAACGTGATTATTACTTATTACATATCTAGATAGTTAATGTTGTGATTTTTCCAAAATTAATTTTGTCAAGTAGAGTTTTTATTTTTTTCATTTATCTTCTAAACGAACTTCTAAAATCTTCTTTTAGAAACTGCCTTCATAGTATATATATAGATATTATATCTTTCTGTCTGATACGGTAAACAAAATTGAAACCAGGAATTCATTCAACTTCAGATGACAACAGCAATTTCAAAGCATAGAGTGTGATATTTATTTCACTATTTGTGATGACATTTGCTGCAAAACTAGATTATCTAGTCTCAGATGAAAATACTCAAAAACTTGTGGTGTACTTGTTCTTCTACCCTTTTGCTTAAATTGGCATGATATTGCTCCACCAACCCATGAGAATACTGTCAGCAATTTGATACTGAAAATATTAAATACCACAGGAAATGCATGTACAGCTCCCACGAACCTAACTGCAAACCTTAAATTGTCTTGTAAACTTCAGAATCAGAAACTTCATTTTGGTTGATATAATATTTTCTGGGACTTCTTTTAGCATGTTTTTTCTTGCTCTATTACATTCCTTTTTCCAACTATTTTTGCACTCTAAAAGTACCGAATGTACAGGAATAGCAATTTTTAAGATGGAGTACGAACATTGGGTAGAGGAGCAAAACAGACATATCTTGGAAATGAGAACAGCTTTAAGTTCTGAGATAGGTGACATGCAACTGGGGAACCTTGTACAAAGCATAATGAACCACTACTCCAAACTCTTTAGCATGAAATCTGCTGCTGCAAAAGCAGATGTTTTCTACGTTATGTCTGGCATGTGGATGACAACAGCTGAACGATTTTTCTTGTGGATTGGAGGATTTCGCCCCTCTGAACTTCTTAAGGTGATGTTCCTTGTGCTAACATTGTTTGTATGTATTTGACCTCTAAAGTATTTCATATGATACTCACTAACCGAAAAAGTTTCAATTTTTATACTTTTTTTACTTTCTGAAGGCCGAATTCCTTGATGGTTTTTTCTAATCATTCATAATATCATATGGGTGTGACATTTGAATGATGGCATCCTCTTTTCATTTCCTAATATATCATATCTGCTAAGCCATTCTTATTGACACAATGTTTACTGCTTGCAGTACATAACAGAACCACTGTTAGTACTGAAGTTCCTCATTACTGTTGAGTTTTGAGTTGTATTCCAACCTCGTTATATATAATAAATTTACTATAATTGCAGGTTCTGATCCCTCTGAGTGGACCTTTGACAGAGCAACAACTGTTTGATACCTATGGCCTAGAAAAATCATGCCAACAAGCAGAAGATGCTCTTTCACAAGGAATGGAAAAACTTCAGCAAATGCTTGCTGACAGTGTTGGGCGAGGACACTTAGTTGAAGGAACCCACATTCCACAGATGGATACTGCAATGGAGAGGTTGGAAGCTCTGGTGAGCTTTGTCAATCAGGTAATGTAATCTATGCTTCACTTACTATTATTTTAGGGCCATAAGTATCTTTCAAAAATTTTCTTTAAGGAATATTAAGATAGAAAAAGATATAAAAACAAAAATAAATTTTTGGGTGAGTTAAAATTAATTTATGTTTAAGCTAATTTATAAAAGTTCTTTTATATTATTTTTCTAAAATTTCATTTTATTTTGATTTTGTGCACGAGTTAATTTTAACTTATGGGACATTGAGAGTTTCCTCCTAGTGATCCTCACGAGATTGTTGTATAAATTGTGATAGAATATGTTGAATATCCAATATTAGGTTTCCTGACAAATAAGAAAATGAAGTTTCTGAAAGAAAATTTTTCATATGAATTTAGAGCTACTTTTAGCTTGAATAAACATCTTAAAATGCTTTGAAAGAATTTTGGCAACCTCATGGACTGCAACATGGATTACGTCGAATATGATCTCTTGTAGAGGTTAAAAAATTGTGCTTTCCCTAAGAGAATATGACATCATCTTTAATTAAAAACTTTAAGGTAATAAAATAAATTTACAGTTTCCTTATATGTTTAACTTGTTTATTTATAGATGATGTGATATTTGAATCTAAACAATTTTTCATTACTCATTTTATATTTTATTTATTTATAAGTCGATCATCAAAACAAATTATAGAATTATGACAATTTTTTATTAATTTTTCTTTTATTATTGTGAATGTTTATATATATATATATATATATATATATATATATATATATATATATATATATATATATTACACAATAGTTTTACCTAAAAATATAGAAATTAAATTAAGTGAAAGTATTCTAAAAATATAACTAAATACGTATCATATTCTCTAAATTTTCTCAAAAGTATGTATTAATACTGATATTTTAACAAAAACCAAGGCAAAAAAAGGGTTTCTAAAACAACTTTATCTTCGTTTCTTTCTTTATAAGTTGATTTCGAGTATACTTAAAGGAATTTAGATGTTTAAGCATTTTGACTATGTGTATTCCAATTGAACATATCTCCGATAGTAAATAACAACCTCCTTCATCTTGAGTTACTCATAATCTAATAAATCCCTTTAACTATGCTAGTTTTAATTTAATTATTAGGATTTTATATTACCAATTTCTTCGAATAAGCATTAGACAAGAGTGTAACAATATATGAAGGTAGAAATGAAAAACAATATGAAAAAACCTTCTCAAATAATAAACATGTTACATGAGTACTCATCTACAACTCTTACATGGTAATATTGTATTAATCTATGAGCACATGTATTTTGATTATAGGTCAAAGAATAATTTAGAAAAGAATATTTAGTTTTTATTGATAGCAAGTTTAAAAGGTTGAATCTTCTGCTAAACCTAAGATGTGTGACACAGGCTGATCATCTACGACAAGAAACCTTGCGGCAAATGTATCGAATACTTAGCATACATGAGATTGGTCAGTTTCTGCTTGTTCTAGGAGAATATTTTCAACGCTTAAGGGCTTTGAGCAAACTTTGGGCTAATCGATCTCGAGAAGCACTTCCTTAGTCATCAAACACATATTATACCAAACAAAAACCAATGACCCATGAACATATAATCAAGTGTCTATATCATTATCCAAATCATGTTCTCTGGCTGCTCACATTTTTCCAGTACTGAGAACTTGTAAATAGTTGTTTCTTACATTTCATATCCTATTTGGTTGTGTCAATTGTGTATAATATAGAATAGCAGAGCAAAATGTTTTGAAATTTGCATAATCCTTTTATGATCTTTGTGAAATATAGAAATTGTTTTTGTATTATTCCATAGGACAAATTATCGATTTTTACATCATTGATAGAATGTTTTTACTAGGATAGATTGAGAAAATTGATCATCTTCGATATGAGTTGTCCATAAAAAGATTTAAAACCACATTAAAGATAAAATCTTAAAGCTTAATGTTTGTGAATTTTGTTTTCTTTATCTACATATTAACTTTCTCATTTTTCCTTAGGACGAAACTTTAACTCAATTGAATTTCTAATATTGAATGTCCAACACCTTCTTTGTGCATGAGTTTGGAGGAGTGTGGTATGAAGACATCTTAATATTTGAATTGGTTATTATTTGATTAATTGATCAAAAACATAATTTATTTGGGAACGTATGCATTGCCCTTCTAGGTTTCTGCATTGCCTTTCTAGGTTTCTGATACTAACTTTATCAAGGGATGAAGTTACCCATATATATATATTATCTTTTTCCTAGCCAAAAGATAATAATTCCAATTAGCTAAAGCACTATATCCTCTTTATTTCCGGTTTCCAAACCCCCAAATTCCTATTAGGCTTTAGATTAAAAAAAAACCAATTAACTTCTATGTCTTGTTTTAAATGTTTTTCTTTATTAATCAACTCCTTACTTTCTATCATTACAAACCCTTGTATGTCTTAAATGTTTTTCTCCATCATGACTATTATTAACACTAAATTTGTTGATTCAGTCGACATTGAATCTAAGATCATACAATCTCCTTAATCTTAACGTCGTAGAATTTAAGATCAAACTTTCAACCCTATATCTATACTTGAATTTGCTTACCCTATTGGCATATGATTTGATGATCCAATTTGCTTTGGTCACCCACTCTTACCCTTAGTACATGAGATGTTTTGATAAAGGTTGTTTCTCCATGTACCTACAAACATTTCATCATACACCTCCAACTTTTTAAAATAGTTTTAAAGGTTATGTTTCTCTTCAACAAATTTTGAAATCCGTTGAAGTTTTTGAAAATTGGTTTAACAAATTTCAAAGTCCGTTAAAGAAAACATCATTCAACGAATTTAAAAATCTGTTAAAGTCTTTGAAAATTCTTTCAAATAGATTTCGAAATCTGTTAAAGAAAAAAAATCCTTCAACAGATTTCAAAATCCGTTAAAGCCTTGAAAAAACATTCAACGGATTTTGAAATCCATTAAAGCACAAAAGATGGGATGTAGGGTTTTTTGAATGACATAAGATAGTTTTAAAATTTTAAAAAGATTACGTGTAGGGAGAAATGATTGGAGATGTAAAGAGAAACCACCTTTGATAAAAGGTCTTCTACCGAAATTCCTATTTATCTTGAGAAAACATAAAATAGAAAACGCCTTATTTTCCTGTGCACATCCATCAAATGTCACATAATTATTGTCAAATGTGTCACTTTTCATATCCTTGGACTAAACTAGATATCCTTAGAGAAACTAGCATTTATACATTGTCAAGAAAAAATTCATGTTTTTAATCGTATAAAAACCTTAAGCAAGTCTGTTAATGAAAGCTTGGTTAGTGTTGATTCTTACAAATATGAAGAACTCACATGCAAAAACTACATGGATGAAATCTTTTTATGCTACGTGTATAATGTTGTATTTGTAAATCTAGGATTGTGCTTTCCCTTAGATACTTTTTAAACAAAAAATTTAACCTTGATGAATGTTGTCTTTGCTAAACTTCATCCAAATAGTGGATATTTGTTTGAACTCTCTAAATCTTGTGCACTCATTTAGGCGTGTTCACTTAAGTAGAAAGATTTGAAGAAAAGTGCGTAGATAAATTTGAGAGTAAAATGTGTATTATTTTTTTAAGAGATTTGGAAGTGATTGAAAATTGATTTAAAAGTATAATTTTTAAAAGTTTGTAAAGAGTTGACTGGTGTGATATATTAAAAAATATATTTTAATTGATAGAAAATAAAAATTAAATTATTGTTAATAGTAATAGTAATATAAATTAATATTTAATAGTAACATATTTTTTTGGTCAAAAATATTTAAAATAGTAGAATTAAAAAGAAATGAGAATCCTAGGCAGCATACCAAATAAAAGCCAAATCCATAACCTTAAAATGACATAATTTGCAACATAAGATTGTTTTTCAAATCCAGAATCATTATACACACGTATATACCAATGTCAGTCCAACAAACATCCATATCCAACTTAAATAAAACTATAACATACCAGAGCCAGTAGTAGTAATAACTTGTCTATACTTCTTGTCGTGAACACTAGTTTCATAGTCCTAGGCTTGGTAACGACGTAGCCATCATAATTTAGTTCAAGCTGATCACATTCTTCACCTTTAATCCCCCAAACACCCTCTTGTTATCTCTACCCCATAGGCTTCAACCACCACCGAGTTCAATCACCTTGATCTTGCTATTATTCATCACCTTGCTCGCATAATCTTCGAGGCACTGAACGTGTTCCTCTGATGAATTATGTACACCTCAGAATTGTATTGTGAGGAATGTCACCTTCTCCATGACCAAGTTCTCGACACCAATCACCGCTAGCGGCTAAAAATTGGGGCGATGCCGTCGTAGACAGTGCACGCAAAGATCCTCGAATTCCAATAACCGTAAGGGCGTCGTTGCCAGAGCCAGGGAACAAAATGTGCTTGGATACGGTGTCGGTGGTAACGATGACAAAGTCAGCCTCGACAATGCGCGAATACAGATGGAGTCGATTACAATGTATTGAAATCGATTATCACCTTCTTGGAATCAATTCCATATGTCCTACGATGTTTGTGGAATCAGTTACGACTTTGAATAATCGATTTCATTTTTCAGTGGTGGTGCTTGGTGAAATCCGTTACACGGGGAATCAGTTCCCTCTCCTTCATCTTCAACTGACCATCATGGAAGTTGTTTCATGTTATATGCAAAGCATCCAAAACATGTTTAAACATCCAAAACAATGTTCATTGTAAATGGATGTCTTTTGTGATAGAAATATCAAGTTGTAATGTTATGTTTATATAATAGTGTTATCAATTAATTTATGACACACTCCACACTGATATATTGCAAAAAATTAGCAAATACTTTTTAAATTATCATATCATTACACATTGTTATATTGGAGAAAAATTAGCAGAAAGTTTTCAAATTACTAGATCCTTAGACATTGTTATATTGGAGAAAAAATAGTAGAAAGTTTTCAAATTAGTATATCATTCCAAATAGTAGGAAAATTAGTACGCTTGCAAATGTCAATGACTCAAACTTTTTAATAACTGAAAATGTTTATTCATTTCATATCTTTACATAATGCAATCCAAATTTTCCATTACAAAAAGTGAAATTCTTCGACCTTGAACACCTAATCTACATTCTATATTTAATAAATCTAATCATAGAATTTTCATAAACAAAGATACCACAATAATGTTAACTACACCCAACAAACAAACCAAACCCTATTAAGAACTTCACCCACTTTCTTCCAACCTTAACTTCTTTGTCTAGATTATATATCTTCCTTCTTTATCTCACAATAGTAGCATCCCTTTTATCACCACCATCTTTAGTGTACCATTTGAAATATTTATACTCAATCAAAGCTTCATTTTTCATTCTGTTATTCACAACAATAATAACAAAACATAACATTGTTAGTTGCAAATCAGAATAGCAAAAATAAATCAAAACAAAAACTTCATAAGTCTGACCTTGTACTTGCAATTAAGACAATCCCAAGATTGTCTCCCACCATTCTTAGTAGTTCTAGCCGTTCTGAACTCATCAAGATCTCTACAGTTATAAGTGGGTGCTCCACCCAACCCCTTAGAGGAAAAACTATGATTTTGCATACGCCACGAATTATAAGAGCAAGATGAAGTGGAATGATCCCTTAACATAACACGTAGAAATAGTCCACAAAGGTGAAAGACAACCTCTAGGGATTATGACAACTTATATGTTCTCTCCTAAAAGGACATGACACACAAATTATGTTTTCTTCCCTCCAATTGCCATGTTTTCTCCCCTGCAACTTATGATTCTTAACATTTCTACCATGTTTACGTTCCACAATAACATTTCATCACTATCTTAACTATGTTTACTCAAACATAATAAAAGAGACTAAATTGAACATTTTTAAAAGTGTTAAATATGTTTTTAATCCCTTAACTTTCAGTGAAAATTAAAATTAGTTAAAACTTTGAACCAATTTAGTCTCTCATCTTTAGAACTACGTGCATTTAGTACTTTAACCAAATTTTGTTAAGCTTATTTAATGTTTTAAATGTGTTTATCAAATAACATTGAAACAGAAATGTGTCAAATGGTCTAAACAACTCAAATGCTATTATATGAAACACATTTAAAAAATTAAAGAAACCTAACAAAATTTAATTAAAAGGATTAAATTCACACATTTCTAAGATTGGGGACATTTGTACAAAAAATCAAGGAATCAAAATCATATTTAACTCTTCAAAAAATACAAAAACTAAATTAAACCAAACAATAATAATAAGACCAATTGAATCAACAAGAAAAAAAATTAGAAGACCAAAGCATATAAAAGAATATATCTTTTGCAATAAATTTTAATTTTTAAATTGAATGCTTTTAGACTATGCTTTCAACTTGGTATTGATTTCTGTACTTTAAAAACTAATGAATTAGTTTTGAAATCTTATAATATTAAAAATTCGAAAATAAAGATAATATAAAAAAATCAAAACTGAATATAATGTCAATTTAATACTTCCATCCATTTTGTAATAATAAAAATCATACTAAATATTTAGATATTAAAAGAAATTAAAAACAAGACTGAATTCATTGATTTAGAAATATAAAAGCTAAAGAAAAGTTTGAAAAAAAAGGTAGGACCAAATACGTACGTTTCTTTAATACTTCTGTTAATTTATTTTAACAGATATGTTTAAAAACATGTACTACACCAAATCTAATTTTGCTTTCATTTAATATTTGGTCACGTGCAACACGATCATCGTAAAATCAAAGAAAAACGTCAAGT